TGGACTTTGAAAATTGGTGGTTTGACCTCAAAATAATCTCTGACTGTGACAAGAAAGAAGGACGGACTGAAGTACTAAAAGCAAAGTAGTAAAAGAGGGAGTAAAGATAGAAGGGATGAAGGTGAATGACAGGAAAAAGACGAGAAAACGTGAGTTCATTCATTGTACAAGAATATGCACAGGAGAAGGTGGAGTTTGGCCAGTTCAGGAGGCTTGGCGCACTTTAACTTACACTTCCTAGCTCAGGGCGTTGGGAGGAGAACTGAAGAAGAATTGTGTGGGAGACAGGAGTGAGCACCTATCTTAAAAAGAGGGGAGGAATAGATAAGGGAAGTTAATGACATAGTGGCTCTTGAAAACCTAGAAAAGATCTGAAGAGATAGCATGCAGGAAAGGATTGGGAAATTCTTGTACTGCTCGAGTTTTCTTCTTCAATTAATTGGTCACATTATGCTTTACACTGGCTATTTGAGTGGCTAGGCATTGCTGAACCTAAACATGAGATTGCCCATCATTACGATGGGCTGTAAAGCTTATGAATATTTGTAGTTTTCCTTTAATGCCTTTATTTGTGTAAATGTTTCATTGTTAGTTTCAAAGTAACTTTCTTTTCTTACTAGTGCAAACTTATAAAATGGTCAAAAATAAGTTTCTTCATTGCTTAGACATTGAGGCAAAGAAATGCATAAAATCAAACCACATCCTAATTATCATCTTTTATTTCAAAAGGTCAATCATGGGTTTTTTCATTTTAGTATTGACATAATTAGATTCCTCTTAAAAGATAGTTTTCCGATGGGAATAGAGGCAAAAAAAAGCCACTGAAATCTGCCCTTCTTGCTTACATGTAGTTAAAACAGTACACTCTGTCGAAGAAATAGTTTGAGTTCGGGTGCAATTTTTCATTTACTGTTGTGGGTTGCCAATGAATAAACCATTTCATAATAGCTCAGAAGTATGCAGACTGAGGAGTTTGTGATGGTAGCCAGAAGAGCATAGTGTGAGGGTAGAAAAAAAAAGGAGGAGGAATAAGAAAATGAGTTTTCAGAGTGACAAGACTGATGTGTAGAAATAAATATTAAAGGAGGTTCCTTTTCTTAATTAAATGCCTAACATATGACTTGTTTTGAGGCTGCTTGTAAACTGGTTCCCAAACTGTGTAATTACTACTGTACCATTCATCCTGCCTGTCTCAAAATATTAATCATCATATGGTAAAAATATTAGCTTGGAGTAGGAGGCTAATGTCAGAAGCTGAAACTCCAGTTCATTACAAATTCTGTCTCTCATCACGACCTTTTAAAGTGCATGCTAAACAAAATAAATACATTTTTGTAAGATTCTTGTTGATATTAAGAAATTAGGGAATATAGATGTAAAGTATTGTTGTCTGTATGAGACATACATAATACTTCCTTAGTGCCTAATAATGCAGTGTTTGCTCCATAGCATCTCATTTAGGAGTTCATCTCTATGTGTAAATGCTTCTATGAATCAATCAAAAGAAATTTACAGTTCAGCAAAACTGTCTGCTTTGATGTATCACCATGTAGCAAATGAATCTGTGGAATCTGAAGGAGTAGATATTTGTAGTGGCTTTTTAGTACCTCCTTCAGAAGGCAGTTCTGTAGGAGGGAGGATTTTCTTGCTGCAGGAGGAAGGAGGAGATCTGGACCTTAAATGTGATAGGCTTGTGTTTGTTATGAGAGGTGAGTGACTTTGCAGATGAAATTGTTAACAACTAGCATGAACAGCGCAAACTTAAGAATCTGGGAAACCAATAACCTCATTAAAGAACTGAGAAAATGCAGCACACTCTTTACCTTGCATAACCTGAGGTTCTGGAGAAGGACTGAGACTGACTTTTCTTCGTTGGTGGTGTTTGCATACAGATTATTACAAGCAGACTTAAGGAATATAAAGTGGTCTGATTGAATTGATTCAAGTAGATCTCGGCAAGAAAAAGATTCATGCTATTCAACCTTTTCATGCTGTTTCAAAAATTGTGCTGTCCTGTTCTGGAGACCTGAAATCAGCTACAGTCTATCTGAAAACAATTGATTTGATGTCGAAGAGGAATTCTGCTTGGTCTGTTCAATGTTTTTGCCATGTGGATGAGAAAGAACAAACTGCGAGTGAAGTTACAGGTTTAAAACTTTGCTTCCTCAGCTGCCTCTTCTTTTCTTTCCTAAGTATAGTGTAGTTATTTCAAGTGAAAGGGACACGGGTATTCAGTGAAGTAAATGTTAAGGGATTTCTCATAGGGCGTTTGTATTTAAATGGTTAATTATCACTGTTCCCTGGTTCTTGTGCTTTGCCGTCTGTAAAAGCTTTTTAGACATTATGCTTTCTAAATTGAACATTTTACAGTAGTTAATAGCTTCTTCAAGGAGAAGCTAATATTTGCATTAATCTTTTAATTAATCTTCTATATTTTACATAATATAAAATAGTGCAGTACTTTTTTCAGGCATTATAAGATATACTTTCAAATATGCTTATTTAAAGCAGTAAAAATTCTGAGCTTTTCGATCAAACTGTGTTGTGTTTTTTTTGTTTCTTGTGCTTTTACGAAACAGTTTCTTACTGTTGTTGTGCATTCCAAGTTACATTTTTCACTTAGAATATTTGTAATTTTCACTCTGTGAAATGACTTTTTTACTTTGAAATATTCACAGCCCCTATACAGATGCTACTTTTTGAGTCTGGATATATTTTTAAGAAGGCTACTTAGCAAAATGAAACATCTTTATTTTTGGACAGTGTTATGCTGAAAATTGCTACTGGAAATAGAATGAGCTATCAATGTTGTTAAACTGATGATGAAAGCAGGAAGGAGGGACGCATTGGGAAGACTTCATAGTCTGATGCAAGTTGTGTATTTTTGAAATAGAGCATATGTGTATTGGAAAAAATACTGTAAGTTCACCCTCCAGCTTTTTTTACTTTTAAAATCAGTGATTCAGAACCTTCAGGCCATTCTGAGCCCCTTTTAAGAATTACCTACAAAGTCCAGCAAATGCAGATGTAGAGGTTTAGAGTTTTCTCGTGGAAGGTGGTGCCAAAGGAAGTCAGCAGAGCATGAACATGTTCTGGGAGCAGCATCTCTGTTTTGTGTTATTTTTCTTGTCTCAAGTTAGCACGTTTTGGTTTGTGGATGACACTTGGAAAAGCTTCCTTACTTTCCTATCCAATTAGTGCCTCTCAGTCTGTAATTAATAATAAAATGTCTCTCTTTGATTTATTAGCTGGTGGCCGCAGATGTGTACAAGTTCTTTGGCCTTAAAAAATACTGGGAAAGACTCACACATCTGTCATAAGTCATGCTAATAAAAAAAGTACATGCTACTTTGAACCTTTTTTTTCCCTTCTGTGTCTCTTCCCCCCCTCCCCCCTTATTTTTTTTTTCTTTTAATTACTGTGTTCACTATCAGAGTGATGAAATAGAAAATCAGTGTTTTGGGTGGATTTTATCTTTTTGTTCTGGTTTCGTCATTCTATATAGCTATAACTAAATAAATAGATATTTTAAAATTACTTTTCTACTATGAGTAATTTTCATTATTGTTGATTATTAAGAGGAGTTTAAGTTGTAGTATCCAATAAGAATTATAATTTTGCTCCATAATCTATTCAGTAGGAAATGTTCAGAGGGACAATAACTTTCTAGAAATATTTTTGTCTGATATGTCTGTACCATGCATCTAAGATGCAGCAGCTTGAAAACTTACTGTTCCAAATCTGGCTGATTTTTAGTGACTGACCTTGAGGTGCATATCTTTACTTGAATAATTGTATGCAGAAACAGGAAATACTAATTGGTTTCAGGTGGAAAAAAAAAGGAATAAAAAAGAGCAATCAGTCATTTTAAAACAAATAGAACTTTCCTTTCTGACTGAAGGGCTATTTTGAACTTCTCACTTTCCAGCATAGTTTTTCAAAGGCTGGTATTTTCTTTCTGTTCAAATTCTAAAGTTGTGGTTAAACCATGGAATTTTAAGATTGTGGGTTTCGGTTTTCGGAGCAGGTATTTGGCAAGTGTCAGCTTCTGGAATTTGTCTTGTTACACTGCACTCTCTTGTGATTGTATAGTGAAAACTGTGGTTGAAGTAATTTAACATGTAGATTTAAATTCTATTTGTTGGCAGAACTATGAATATACTGAAACAATGCATTAATTTTCAAAACCACATATTTGGTCTCACATTGTCACAGCATTATATAAATTTTAAACAATTTTTAGTAGTTGCCTTTCTACCCCAATTTTGTAAATGTTTTGTTAGTTTTGGAATGCAAAAAGGGTGATAAAGCTCCGATAATATCTCTTCTTCTCATTTAGAGTTCACTCAGTAATAGCCACTTTCCTGTCCAAAGGGGATTGCTTTACTTTGCTTCACTTTGTACAGACTTCTTTCACTCAGATTGTGACCTTGAATGCTCCAATCTGCCAGATAATTTCACCATTTTCAGATGCAAGATTGGTGATGGACATAGCTTTTACCTAAGCCTTTATCTAAAGGTTCTTGTGAGGTCTTGTCCTGCGCTAAGTAAATAATGCTAGCCACCAGTTAGAGCTGCCAAGGCAGTTACACTGAAAATGTTAGGAAAGGAAAGAAGATTCTGATTCCAATACTGCTTAAAACACCTACTTCTGTGTGTGTTACCACATGTGCCAAACCAGTGCTGTGTACCAATATCTTAACAGAACAGTGTTAAACATAGTATAAGGGCTTTTTTTCCTCTTGTTTAGTCTCCTAATGTTTTCCTCTTTTATCTGCTTTTCCAGTTTCTGCTTTTTCTGTTCTTGGTATGTGCATGGTCTGTGTCCTTTATTTCTGCTCTGAGGTTCCTTACTTCTTTCATAGGCATTCATCATTGTTCTGTCTGAGGACTGCAGAGGACACTTTAGCCTTTAGGCTCTGAGGAGTGGGGATTTAGCTTCTATCATCAGAACACTTACTATACATCAGCACATCAATGTAACATTTTGTGTTCTGCAGGTTGGAAATCCACGTGTTGAGCTCACTCTTTCTGAACTTCAAGATATGGCTGCCCGACAACAGCAGCAGATTGAAAATCAACAGCAAATGCTGGTTGCTAAGGTAATAATTATACAGATTGTAATAAATATAAATTTCCTTAAACATATGCAAGTGTAATTTCCATGGATTTGTAAAAACACATTAATCCATTCTAGACAAGCTCAAGAAAGCTTGAATCCATTGTTTTACCATGTTAATCAGGCAATACACAACATTTCAGTGTAAATGATACTATAACAACCTATGTCAAGCCAAGTTATGTGTCTTTAGAAAAAAGCATTAAGAGTTTTTATTTGTCTGTTTTCTGAGGCTCACTTCATGACCTGTTATAGATCAGGCTTGACTTTATGCTCATCTTTAGTATGACCTCCACTATAGTAACAGTGCTGTGAGATGAGAATGTGCCCACATCGTATATATTCAGGTATTACATTTCCAGAGTCTTTGAGATGTAAGAATCAAAGTGTGTTTTCAGAGTGAGGAGTGGGTTTAATGTTTCTGACATTGTTGTGAGTGTTACAATATACAGTAGGCATTGGATGCTTGGAGTACCTAGGAATCAACCTATCAATTCTGTAGTTCTTTCTTGATGGCAATAATATAGAAAAAGAAAAATTTTCCTTGTGTGCCCAGCAGAAGGACTGTTATTTAGAACTGGAACATGACCTTAGAGTAGGTCAGCTTGTTTAAAATGGTGTGTTGGACCTATTTTGTCATCTGTGGGAAGCTGGATAACATCATTGGAAGTTTATTTTACAACACCAGGAGAGGAGTTAATAGCGTCAGCAAACAAATGCCAGAGGAAGCTTCACATGCGTTTTAATGAGAGTTCAGGCAAGGGTTGTATTTGCACATATATGTAAATTTGGTCTAAAAAAATCTTGAATCTCTGCTCTAAAACAGTTTTAATGTAGAGCATTTTTCTAGGTGGACTGATATATCTTTTAACTTTTTAACTACATTTTTAACTGCAAGCTTTTCTGATTTCTGGGAATACAAAACCCCACTGATCATAGTGGTGTTTTTTTTTTTCAAGTTAATTTCTTTTTAAATCAATGGGTAACAGGTACCTCTTGTCTCAAACCTCATTTTATCAGGAACAACGTTTGCGTTATCTGAAGCAGCAGGAACGTCGTCAGCAGCAGTCTGTTTCTGAGAGTGAAAAGCTTCAGAAACTTAAAGAACGTGTTGAAACCCAGGAGACAAAGCTGAAAAAAATCCGTGCCATGAGAGGACAAGTGGACTACAGCAAGATCATGAATGGCAATCTGTGTATGTGGAATTTTTAAAGAAATTACTTGGTTGAATTTAGTGTTTACTGCATGACTAGCAAATAATGCTGTATTGCTAGTCATTGTACCATTGAAACATGATTTCAAATAGAATGGGCGTTTTTTGTCTTAGGGGGGTGCTGTGTTTCTGTTAAATTTGTGTATGTTGTAACTTACGTTTTCTTTAGTCAGGCATAAAGTCAGAATAAGTGTATTAATATTAGGAAATACTATGACTCTTAGCAAATTCCCAGCACAAATGTTTTATATGAGTACGTATGTACTAGATTTAAAACTGGTGTGTTGTATTTATCAGTACCTTTAGAATTAAAAAATTAACAACTTCTGCTTTACTTAGTTGTTTTTTGGTTTTTTTATCTTGTTAATTTTAGCAACTGAAATTGAGCATATAAGTGCCATGTTCCAGGAAAAGCAGCAGGAGCTACAGGCTGCAGTGTTAAAAGTGGATCAGCTTACTCAGCAACTGGAGGATTTAAGGAAAGGGAAACTTAATGGGTTTCAGTCTTACAATGGACAAATGACGGGACCTGCAGCAGTAGAATTGAAAAAGTTGTATCAAGAGCTACAAGTAAGTAATGAAAAGATGCTATTTGAATGATAGGTGTAGATTTTAAGAAGTTGTGTTGCTATGCTTATGGGTAGACATTTGGTTCTGCAACTTCTCATAAAACGGGTGTATTGGAATGCTGTCAATGTGTGTGTGAGGTTGTAGTTACCATATAACCCTCTTTAAAACAGAATCTCATTAGCTTTAGAAACTATTTTTATTGTTGGTCATACACATAATGATACAAAGTGCACAAGTGTTCTGAAGGGCATTTCTCAGCCCCTAATACTGACATACTGAATGTTGACATAATCTACTATTTCTTTTAATCTCTTGATAAATTAAAAAAAAGAGGTATTTTTCTATGTTTCGAAAGAACTGGCTGTAGCAAGCTCACTTAGATGGCATCTTAACTTGGAGACATGACTGGCCTGTGAAAAAAAGTAAATTTAAACTACATTGTGAAAATACAGCTAGAATGTCTAGTGTAAATAAAGAAAATACGTAAGACTTAAATAACACATTTTAACAGAATCATCAAAAATAAAAGCTGCATTATGTTCACTGCCCTGTATAGTGTGCTGTGGTTGCAGTATATTCACACAGCATTCCCTGTATCACTAGTGTATATCTTCCTCCAAGAAGATTGTTAAATCTGAAATACAGTTCTCACATGAGTAATTAAATATTCAATTTACATTGAAAATTTGTCCAGCTTTTATGTTTAAAAGTTATGTGCCAGTGTGTCAGGATTTGAGGGCTTTTTTTATTTACTCATGTACTTTACTGCGATCAAGGCAACAGCTCAAATATATTTACTATTTCAAAATCAGTCTCAACCAGTTCTTATATGAGCAAGTACAACACACAAATTAATCCATCATGTGTTTTCATTAAGTAGGAATGAGTCCTTTTTCTCCTCTTTTTCCTTTTTTCCCATTTATACGAGGCATATATGCCTTGGCAGTATTTTGAGGTGCGAAGATGCTCAATAGATTAAGATTTCTTTTGTGCTTCACAGTGATCCCATACACATTTGTCAAGACTTAAATTTGCCTCAGGTGTTTTTTGCATGTAACATTACCATGAAAATTGGAACACTGTGACAACACTGTCAAAGTTATTGAAGGTATGAAAAAATGCCAGTGGGAAAGCAAGAGAAATAATTATAAAGACTGTCACGGTTGATTTAAACCATAAAGGTAATCCATCCCCTAATGTGCTGGAAACCTACTGTGAAGGTTTTGGTTTAATCCCAGTGTAGAGAGGAAAATCTGTGCCCAGTCCCTGCACTAGCAGTTCAGTTAACCTGACATCAAGAAGTTTCATGTGGAACTGGAAACTGAATCAATAACATAATTTTTGTTACAAGTTTTATATCACTGAGTTTTCATGATGATCAAACTGTCTTGGTTAAACATGACTTTTAACAAACATTTTCTATGGTTTAGTTTTTCACAGTGAAGTTCAGTTCTGAAATGTCTCTATACCTATTTCTTCAATCCATTTGCTATAAATGGGTTGCAGCCTACATGTATTTAATAGGTATCCACTAGTTTATTAGGACATTCTTTTGCTGTTTTCTTTTAAGGGTTGTTCATGTTTGCAAATGCTAATTTGACAGGCCGTGTGGAAGCATAACATTAGAGATGCCAGAACAAGTTGCTGAACCAAGTTACTTTGTTTTTTTTAACACTCTATTAAAACCCAACTTGACAACAGACAGAATGAAGTCACAGAATGAAGGAACTGTCGTAACAAGTGCTTTTTTCTTTCTTTCTTCCATTCTTTCTATTTTTATTATTTTTTTAAAGATTCGTAACAGGCTTAACCAGGAGCAGAACTCCAAGCTTCAGCAGCAAAAAGAACTCTTAAACAAACGCAATATGGAGGTGGCTATGATGGACAAGCGAATCAATGAGCTGCGTGAACGACTATACAAGAAAAAAGTTGAGGCACGTCAAAAAGAAAACATTCCTGTAAGATAAACTGTTAAAAGGGCCACACTTTAGTTTATCAAAATCCTATAAAAACTACATACTTCACTTTTTCCAGCTGCGTAACACAATTACATGAAAGAACCTATTTTAAAAGTAATAGGCTTCTTCTTAGAAGTATTTTAATGTTTTCTATAAATATCAGAAAACCAATAGAGTGTGTTTCCTTTTTATTTTTCCTCATGGCACAGACGATAGTATATTAAAAATTCTAGTAGTTTATATTTCTAGGAAGGCAAGTGTGATTATGGGCTGTGTTTCAAAGCATGAAAGTGTAACAGTTTGCTTTTTATAAAATATTGATCTTCCAATATGGAAAACTGAGAAATATCTAAGTGGTCTGATAAAGTTAGTCTTGATAGCTATCTGGAACTTTGATAAGAAATCAATTGCACTGTAGACCATTTATCTAAGAATCAGAGAGATCAGTTCTGGATTTCCATACATATTCCTAGCTGGAGGTATTGCTTTTAAAAAAACCAACCAAACATACATATTTGAACATTTAAGAACTCATTTTTGTCCATTTGCCTAAGAAAGGCACAGTGAAAGAGACTTTACACAGATAGAGATTTCTACAAGAAATGTATTTGCTGTGGCTGGAAATTTTTGAGGTGTTGATTTTAAGGAATTTAATTTGTACTTTTTTTTTGTAGAAGCATGGAGTATGGTAACTTAATTATTAAGGTGTCTTGGCTTTAGTGCATGATTCTAGATAATTAAATTTAGACCTCCTATTCATGCACAAATGCCTAAAGTAAATGGAAGTTCACATTTCAATTTGTCTGGTTCTTTTTAGTTGAATCGTATTAATGGCACTTCCTCACCCCAGTCGTCCCTGAGTGCTTCAGGAAGGGTGGCAGCAGTAGGACCTTACATCCAAGTTCCAAGTGCTGGCACTTATGCTGTACCAGTAGATCCAGTTAAACCACAGTCTCTCACCATTGCTTCTAGCTCAACACATGGAAGATCAAAATCTGGTAAGTACTTAAGTGTGATGCTTATTAATACGCATGGTTTGGAAAGGAGTAATACAGAAAAAGAGTAATCTTGGGAGCCCAAGTGTTGGCATAATCCCTGTAGGGGAGGAGGCGTTTCAGATGTCTTGATACTGTTCTGTGAATTGGACATTAGTCATTTGACATGAGGTGGTTTTGCTTTTTTCCACTAATTTTTCTTAGGAGACTTTCTTTGAAATTTTACTAGCTGGTACACAGCTAAAAGGAGCACATGTTCCTTCACAGATCCTATGTTCTGTCCTTAATAAGCTTTTCAATTAGTTTGTGTGTTTGAATATAATAATAAACTAATGAATAATCAACTTTTGTGGCAAGCTATATTATAAACAACTATTTACAGTAGATTGCTTTTTGTCAAGTAAAACAAAGCTAGTAAACAAGTAAAAATAATAATACTTCCCAGAAGGAGACTAAATAGGAAAAGAGGGGGGGGAAAAGACCAAAATGCTTGCAGCATGCTTCCAGATGGGGAGGAAGAGGTGGAAGGAAAGCAAATCTGAACCTCTCTGTAGGAAGGAATGACAGAAATACCCCCCAGAAAAACCCCAAGGTAAGGAAGTGAACCTGTTCTAACAAAACGTAAAAAACCAAACCAACCCAAACCCTAGCCTTTTCCATTTTTATTAGTGATTTAACAAAACCTTTAGTTTAATTCAAAGGCTGTACAAACCCCATCACTATGGTCTTATGGAAAAGTTGTAAGCCTAAGGAATGACTTAATTGTGAAGTGACAGTTTTGTTTTCGGACATGTGGATTCCTCTTCCACATACAGGAAGGACAGTTCATAACTTTTAAGTTTGCCAATGAAAAATAAGTCACTGCTTTGTAAATATCAACCTCAGTGGATACACATACCCACTTCAGGAACTACTTCAGGAAGTTACAAGACCTCTGAATGATAACTTTTTTGATTTTACATAAGTAATTTTTCTGCCTTGGGACTGACTTAGAGTTTATTACTCTATAAGATAGATTTTTGTAAGGAGAAGCTTATCTGCTCCCAGGTAGAAAAGAAATTAGGATTTTTTTTTCAACTGTCATGCTTTTATTTCTCATTATCTGAGTGTTCCTGTTCTAATTTCTCCATTGTCATTGTTATAATTTTTCCACCACTTTTTTTTTTTCTTTCTTTTTCTGTGTAACTGGATCTGCCTTGGTGTGTCCGGTAGAGACAGACTGTGGGTGTGTGAAAAAATCTCCAGACACCTGGAAGGTTTCTGATTTAGACATAATAGTGGATCCTATTCTGTCACCTCCCACTTCTCTTCAGTCCGCTGTTCACAATGTCATCCGCCTGGCACCTACTCTGTTTGACACCCAGCACTGTGAGTCCGTAGAAGATCTCTGGCTAGCTAAGAACCCAAGTTTTAATATGGTCATCTGAGCTCTTGCATACAGATACATATTAAACAGCACCTTTAGAACTTGTGTTGTGGTCTGGCATGCAGAAAATCATGTTGAAATGTAAAATTGTTGAGAAGTTGCTTTTCATCTTTGAAGGAAACAGATTTGCAGCAAATTCATCACTGGAGTATCTACTAGGGATGTGTTTTCTTCATTTAAAAACCTTGAAATTTTCTAATTGTAATTAGAAAATTTTGTGGTAATCACCAAAGCATGTATTAGTATATCTCAGATAAGATAGATGTATTACATACAGGTTTAGCTTGAGTTACTTTGTGGGAAACTTTGAGTTTCAGTGTTGCTCTGGCCCCAGAATAGGGATAAGGCTCACTGTCCTCAGCAAGAATCTTGCTTACTTCCATTGGTCAAAGAAGCTATACCTGGTTTGCTTTACTAAGTGTCCTGGATCCAGACCTACAAAAATTTTTAGGTGAAGTTGGAGAAAACACACAAAACCTTTTGTGTCTGCATGTTACTGTCTTACTTGTGTAGATGCAAAATGGGGTGGTGAGGGTGTTAGGTAGTTGTACAAGCAGCAGACAAGAGGGTACATTTGGGGGAGAAAAAGCCAGTTGACTGAAATGGGTGTCGGGTGGCTAAGAGCAGGAGCTAGTGAGGGCTTGTTGGAAGGGTGTTGCCATCAGATGGGCAAGACTGTCTGGGACCTGCTCAGCCCAACCAAAGATAGCAGGAAGCAGATGCTGTTTGATTGCTTCCTCTTAGCACCTCCCAGGCACCCATTGGTGCCATATGCTGCAGTTGCAGATTGCAACAGAAGCTTAAGTGCACGAGATTCAGCTTGGCTTGTGGGAGTATGTGAGAGGTGCACTCATAAAACATGCATGGTAGTTGGCGAGTCTGCCAGCTTGTAATAGGAAGGACATGAAGGTGGGAACAGTTACATACTGATGTTTATGTAAGTAGAATAAAACGGAGAGGTTAGAGAGAGGAGAGTCTGAATTTACTTCTAGTCTGTTACCTCAGAATTTGAGGGTGAACATGCTAATATTTGGAATTCCAAGGATTACAAAAAGCTTTTGTATAACTAACAGAAGAGTGTGGCCTTGTGTTTGCAGGTAAGAGAATTAAATTCTTTGGGACTTTTGCTGTTGTTACTGTAGGTGCTTTCTTAATAGCTAAACTTATGGCTACATATGCTTTCATGTTTAGCGTGAATCAGTTATAACACCTTTTATTGATCTTCAAAAGCTTTACTGAATCATAACCTTTCTGGAGTCATGGAACATCCTGTGTATTTTGTACACTAAACGTTAATTCAGAGCATACTTGGAAAAAATTGCCCTTATTTAGGGTCAGAGTGTCTAGCAGTCGGCTTCCTTGGTCGTGCTTTTGATAACCACATGACTAAAGCCAGTAACAAACAAAAACCCCAACATATCCAGTTCTTGGCTGTTGCCAGTACTTAAAGCTGGGCCTCATTACTTCCTGGAAGTTTGCAAGGGTGAAAAGTGATTTCTGGACTATATACTATATTCTCAGTGTAAAAATGTGCAAGTGTTAACCCTTTTTTAATAACCAACCACAAAAACACTCCTACTTCAAAGTAATTACCTCTCAGAATTCAAACATAGTTGATTTGAATTTGAAAGTTTAATACAGTATAGTTTGTGTAATATTAAAGGATCACCTGCACATATAATTAAAAAATAATTACTATGGTAGCTTAAATGCAAGAGATACTTCATTTTTTGCGAACTTTAAAGCAAAATGATTTTAACTAGCCTATAAATAAATGTATGAGCTAATAGTGTGTATTTGCACTCACATAGTGAAAACACTGGGTGGTAATCGTCAAGAAATCTTCAGGTGGTCATTTCATGAATAGAAAGTAGAGTGGGGATGTTAAATTCATTGTAATGAGAATGTTTCTATGCAGCTTATTTTTAGATTATCTGCTATATTCGACAAAGGGTGGGAAAGGATTCTGGAAATAGCTTTGCTGATTCTGTTTTCTAGGTGCTTAAAAGTGAAATAAAATGGGAAGTTGCCATCAAATACCTTATTTTCATTCAATGGTTTCTTACTATGGGGTCCAGAAATCTCAGTGAAGCTCCACATGTGCAAACCGCTGCCATTTTAGTTGTTACCTCCTAGCATAGCTACGTGTTACATGTCATCTTTACTGATCCTAAGTGCTCCACTAAAATAATTCCAGGCAATAAGAAGGAGAAACGATCTCTGGTTTCCTTGGAGTAAGAGTAACCTGAAGTTTAATGTTTTCAAGGCAAATGAAAGTCTTAGGATCTAAACAGGGGTTTATTTAGTTAGTATAAAACAGATCTAATTATCAGGCTGTTTAAACTCTCTTGCTTACTTAGAGAACAGAAACCAAATAGTCTCACACAGTTAATAAAGTAACACATCAATGCATCTAGGACTTATTACGGATTTGTTGCCTCAGTTTATGTGCAGCTATGCATGATTGTTTTGTACATGATGAAGACAAAAGCCTGTGACTTGTATCTTGACACAGTGAGTTGAAGTTGTCAGCTGACTTTATTAATTTCTTTAAAATTAAGTCTCTTGGGTAGTTCTAATCAGGTGAGTATGTTGAGGAAAGACAAAAGGTAAGTTAACGGCTGCTTCCAGCAAAGGAATATAAGCTTTTGTTCCACCCCATTGTTGAAAGGAGTTTTTACATCCTCTTATGAGTGAATTAATTGAGTAACCGTAGTTTAAATTTGGAGTAAGTGCACCCAGACCTTACATAGACTTAACATTTAACATAATTTTTGGCAGTGTCTCTGTATAATACCAAAAGAAATACCTTGATGAAGTGTTTCTATAAGGATTTTTGTTCCGAATCTGTTTGCCTTCTAATAGCAGAATATGCAACGCTCAAACAAAATTTTTAACCATCTTTTTTTCAATGCAATTTGAATGTCAGAGGGTGAAGAACAGCACATTACATACAGTGATTGCTCTCAGTATCAATTTCTGAATCAAACATGAGTGATTTATCTCATTTCTGGAATCAAATTAATCCTGTTGTAATCAAAGCTGTTCCTTTTCACATGTTATTTTGCTTGTTTACAGTGATGGTGTGGATTATCTTAAATACATTCTTTTTGTCTTTTTTCAAGCTAATGATGGAAACTGGCCACTACTTAAGCAGAACTCAGCCCCTGTGGTAAAACCACCGCAGATCTCCAGCACAGACTGGAAAGAATCGAGCATGGATACTGCTTTAAAACAAGGAACTATATCCAGCCAGCCCTTGCCAACTTCAGTACTAGGAAGTACTGATAAGCTGGTGGGTTTCATCTCTGATATATTTGTAGATATGTTTTGCTGAAATTATGAACCTTTAGCTTCCATAGCTGAACCCGCTTCAGTTATGTACACATTCGGTTTCCCTGCTGATATTTACCTTTACAGTATTCCTCCTGTTTTTTTCTGTTCTTATCACATTACCTTCCCCCCCACCCCCGACTTCAGTAGTTCATATTTCTTCCTATTCTTTTACATACATACCTGGTCTCCCCTTTTCTCTCCTTTTGCTTCTCCTAATCATCTCACCCATCTTCATATTTCTCTAATTTGGATCTTCATTACTCTTTTCTCCTTGATGTAGATTATCGCTCTTTCAATGTGCTCTTTTTCTTACAAAAACCTCATAAAAGAAGTCATTAAATCCATCCTCGAGTGAGTCCACTGGTGGCATCTGTCTGCGCTGTTGTTCTAGTACTTTATGAATTCCTTAAGGCTGTAATCTTTAAAGAATAAGGATCTGGTCTTTAAATACTTTTGGTAAACTCTGTTATCACACTATATATTATAAAATATGTTATCAACTAGATATGAAGAACCTAAAACAAGTTACTCAGGTTTTGAAAGTATGTAAATAGTTCTGGATTCATATTAATAGCTGAAGAGGCCTGGCCTTTGTCTGATACATGATGAGCTTGTGTGGTAAATTCAGGTAAAATCATACCTACTGATGAAGTAACACAAGTTGTTTAAATCGACTCCCTTGCTGTCACACAAGGTTATTAGTATGTTTTGTAGAATGAGGAATGTTCTTGCTCACAATTATTTTATTTAGTTAAATGTTACATTCTATTTCATGTTCTTACACAGGGTCTTGACCTGGGGAAGGTGCCACCAGCAGTACCTGGTGTAAGCAAGCAGTTGCCTCAAAACTATGGGACCTATCCAAGTCCAGTTCCCTTAGGAACAGGTTCTACAAATTCTCTAGAAAGACGGAAGGATGGCAGCCTGCCCAGACCTGGCACCAGTATAACAAATCGGCAAAGACCTGTTCCACTTCCACCGCCAAGCAACGTCCATCAGCCCAGTTCTTCACAACAGATTCAGCAGAGAATTTCTGTACCTCCCAGCCCTACGTATCAACCTGCTGGTCCCCCCTTGTTTCCAGGAGGAGATGGCAGGCCAGAACTCCCCTTAACTGTCGCAATCAGACCTTTTCTGGCTGATAAAGGATCACGACCGCAGTCTCCTAGGAAAGGGCCACAGACAGTGAACTCCAGTTCCATCTACTCAATGTATCTTCAGCAAGCAACACCACCAAAGAATTATCAACAAGCTGTATACAATACCTTAAATAAGTCCGTAAAAGCAGGTAAAATGTATTTTCCTTTGGTTTTCCTTTGAAATAGACTGTTAAGGTCTGCTTACTGGGCTTAGTTTGCTTTCCGTATCAGTTTGAAAAACATGACTAAATCTACGAGAAGAGGAAAGATACTTCTGTGTTTGCAGCATGGCAGAAAAATTATGCCGTATTTTTTGGGGGTGATATATATACATTTAGTTACATCTCATTTAAAGCAAGATGCAGTTAGAACAATACAGCCTGGATACTTTACCAGTACCTTCAGAAACAAGTTGAAAAAACAGTGTCTAGAGAAGAGTTTTCTTCCTTTCACTGTTTCCTTATGGAAGAGGAAAAACATTCCAGGTGCTACTTGTAGATTGTAATTGTAAGAAGCATCATCAACAGGTAAGTGTGTATTTCTGTTTTGATAGGTTCCAGTATAATTAATTTGATTTTTTAATTTTCTGTGCTAGCATTAAACAGGCAGCAGCAGAGACAATACACAGTTTATTTGCAAATACTTTAATTTGAGAGTGGTTCTTCACTGTTTTCCATCTTTCTTTTCTGCAGTTTATGGAAAACCTGTATTGCAATCTGGCTCGACTTCTCCCTCGCCCTTGCCATTCCTTCATGGTTCTTTGCCCACCCAGACTTCCTCACAGCCGCAGTCTCAGCCTCAGACTGAGGTGTCTGAAAAAGATCAAGAGGTGGAAAACCCTCCACCACCCAGTGAAAACAGCAATGTGGAAAACATTCCCCGTCCTCTCAGTCCTACTAAGCTCACACCTATTGTGCATTCACCCCTACGGTATCAAAGTGATGCTGACCTTGAAGCTCTGAGAAGAAAACTGGCCAATGCTCCAAGGCCATTAAAGAAACGTAGTTCTATCACTGAACCAGAAGGCCCAAGTGGACCAAATATACAAAAATTATTGTATCAGCGCTTTAATACTCTTGCTGGAGGAATAGAAAGTGCTCCTTTTTATCAGCCAAGCAACCCACAGGACTTCATAGGCATCTTAGCTGATGTTGATAATGGTAACGCTGGTACCAATGGCAATATTGAAGAACCTATTTCCGTGCAACCTACAGTTCCTCTTCCTGATGAGCCACCCCCTTCATCAGATGCCAATGATAACGAGTTACCTTCTCCTGCTACTGAGGAACTGATAAGTACTGAAACCACAAATCAAACACCTGAGACAACTGAAGATAACAACAACAATCTTGCTATAGTTCCTTCTACTGAACAGTCACCTAGTCCCACACCAGAGGTCAGTTCTCCAGTAGAAGATGAAGCTCCTTTGCCTCCTGCTCCTCCTCCTCCGCTTCCTCCAGTAAGTAACCAAGCAAAAGGACAATTTTGTGGAGAATAAAATTAGGTGTGTGTTTAAGCATAACTGAAAGATGGTAAGTTATGCCAAATGGTATGTTTGCACTTCAATTTTCATGATACTAAAAGAAAAGAAAACCAGGGGGGCTCCAAGGAGAATTATGATGGATTAGTTGCTTTACTACCACAGCCATTTAATATGGAATATATGCATACAGGCAACAAGAGGTTGCGTATGTACTTTAGGTTGTGGAACTTCTGGGAGGGATATACTCTTGGTTTAGAACTAATTCTGGAATCTGAGATTCCATTCAAAATACTATTTTAATTTCCCTGGGCCTACAGAGAACCATTTATATGAAACTTAAGGATAAGCCATGGCAGTGAGAAGCGTTTTGCTTTGCAGACAAGCTGAAATAACTGTTCTGGGAGCAGTGCACTCCTTTTCCCCTCCGAGCAGAGGGATGTGAGACCAGGGGCTAATGCAACCACCACCACAGCTGACTCGTTTTAGCAGAAATGTTTTTCTAGTGGGCTGGTTGCATAATTTGAATTGCTTTCAATGTTCCTTCTCCAGCTGTGCCAAAATCTTTTCAATACTTGTCATTACCAAAATCTACAACATAGGGAGAATTGAAAATGGGGAGAAAACTGTATTTTGTTCTTAGTCGTTGCTATGACTCACTTTAACGTTAGTTTCAAAGGGCATCTCTACTTCTTGACTCAGGCAGGGACCTTGCAATCCTCTGACAATGAGTGTGGCATGAATGGAGACTCATGTGCATTTCCCATGGCCACAAGTGGGCCAGGATGCTTCTAGGAGAATAGAATATGCTAGCAACAGATTACTGTTAACACTGAGAGAAGCTTATTATCCAAACTGAAATAGCCATCCTAAATAGGAGCATGAATGAAAATGGATCTTAGAGTGCTAGAGACTAAAAGCATTCTATAAAAGCTGTAATTAATAATAGACTTTTTCTTCTTTCCCCCTGGAAAGTGGCAAGGACACATGTGAATGATTCAGAATATTTTCAAACCATTTAAATGGGTTTCAGATCTTGCGAATGCATCTTCTGGTAACGCCAGTCAGAATGTCACATAAAACAGCTTCATGTTCTGTACTTCTCTTTCCCATAGCAAAACTCACAACTTGTCAGCACCAACCTGCAGCAGATACTTCTGCTGATTCGAGGCAAGGATTCCTTTGAGTAGAGACTGATACTCGGGCTTCACTGTGTCATGATTTCTAATCTAAGCAAAAGTGTTACAAGTGTTGACAGTGTCTCAGACAATCCACCAGAAACATATTCAGCTTTTATTAGATACAGTTAAGGTAGTGGTGCTTAAAACCCACTGACACAAGTACCTCAGGCCTTGTACTCAATACTTTTAATTAGAAGCTTCTAAATTATATTGGCACGCTTTTTCATTTTCTAATTGAGTAAGATGTAGTAAGATATCAAGCCTTTTATTTAGAGACTTTATAATAGAAACAGTTAAGGAGGATGGGATTCTTCATCTAGTTTAAAAAAGTAATTAAATAATCTGTTAGACTTGTGCAAACTGAAATTTTACCTTCCAACCTTCACCTCTGCTCAGACAAAACGTACCAACTTGAAGAAACCAAACTCGGAAAGAACAGGCCATGGTTTGAGAGTGAAGTTCAATCCACTGGCCCTCCTCCTGGATGCCTCTTTGGAAGGAGAATTTGATCTTGTACAACGAATCATATACGAGGTGAGCTGCTAAACAATGGCAACCTCCTAAAGCATTTTTTGAGGAAAACAAGTGCTGAACTATTTTATGGTTTTAATAGGTTGATGATCCCAGTAAACCAAATGATGAAGGAATTACACCTTTGCATAACGCAGTGTGTGCTGGTCATCACCACATTGTGAAGTTCCTGCTTGATTTTGGTGTAAATGTAAATGCAGCAGACAGCGATGGATGGTAAGTTTCGACTTGGCATCTGGGAGAGACACCATTTTGGTGCACATTCAGAGTTCAGTTGAGGCCTATTTGGAAACAATTTCCTTCCCCTTAACCCCCAGCAAATGAGCACGTTCTAGTCTCTAGGTGGTGGCAAACTCAAATGCAGGGTTTCTCTATGTCCAACTCCTGTGTAAGCACACTCAAATCATAACTTATACTATGTTTTGTTTTTAATTTGTGGTGCATTTGCATTTATGTTCAGATGCTGCAATAATTAAACTGTAAATAAGAAAGGACAAAAGTTAAGTCTCATCTTTGTATAACCCACCACAGATCGTGGTACTGCTGAAGAACGTAGCCTTGCAGGTAGATGTAGTGCTTCTGGAGAATTTGGAGGAATGCAAAACCTTGCTGTGCTGACCTGTTTATCTTTCAAATTTCCTCACACTGGAAAATAGTCTTTTGCACCCAGCAGCTCCGTAAGCAATGAAAATAGACTTTTTTGCTAACATCTGTTTGGCTTTACTAGAGTCAGGTAAATCCTGGGATCCACTCCAGTTGCTTCACAGGTTTTGGATAATGCATACATAATCTGTAAGCATAAGGAACAATTTCCTTTAAAAATTCACAGGCTAAACTCTGTATAGCAAGACAAAATAATTAGGATTCAGGGAAGTTTATTTTTTCCTGTGTACATTTCTGCTTTATTTCAGGACACCCTTGCATTGTGCTGCTTCTTGCAATAGCGTTCATCTCTGTAAACTACTGGTTGAATCTGGGGCAGCTATTTTTGCTTCAACTATAAGTGATATAGAAACTGCTGCAGACAAGTGTGAAGAGATGGAAGAAGGTTATATTCAATGTTCCCAGTTCTTGTACGGTAAGCTGGGACACTACTTTACAAACCTCTTCAGCTTTTCTAAAATTCATCCCTCTTTGTCTCTGATTTGCATGAAACATCTGCTTAGGCCTCAAGAGTAGACAATACTGTCCATCACCTTCTGCTCTTTCCAAATGATAAAACCAGGGTATTATGCCCTGTTCTTGGAAGTGTTCAAGGCCAGGTTGGATGGGGCTTTGAGCAACCTGGTCTAGTGGAAGGTGTCCCTGCCCATGGCAGGGGGTTGGAAGTGGATGATCTTTAAGGTCCCTTCCAAACCATGCTGCTCACAGGGCTTCTGTTCTTTGAGTTATGTCACAGGCTCCTTCTAATGTTACCAATTTTTAACATTAAATTTGGCCTAATTTCAACAAAATGTTTCCCTGGGAAGGTTTTGACACTAACAGCAGGTTGCCAAGTATCCTGACAGAGATACTCCAACTACCAGGTGCACAAATTCCTTGCAGATCACATGAAGAAGAACGTATACTTGATGAATAACCGACTGACAGAATGTAGTTAGTTACCGAGTTCGGTTTTGCGAGAAAAGTACCTTGATGGAGCAGGCAAATTTTTCATTCCCATCAGAGGCTATAGGCTCCATTAGGGTTCTGTATAGCTGACATGGTGCAGATTTCCAAGAGCTTCAAGCATTACTGTGTAATACCTGCTGTAGAGAGCAGGCCTGTGAGAAATACACAGCAGTTCTCTAAAACTGCTCTGCTCAAAACTTTGTAGAGCTATTTTTATCCTCATTTGAATACAAGATTGTAAAGTTTCTATTACATGTAGAAAAACTCACACTCTAAATTGGTTTTCACTACTCCGCAAAATTTGGTTTTATCATGCACCTAAACTTCTGGAACCATTTCATCATGTGCTGAAAATTGTTCATGAAATCTTTTATTGATAAAAGAGACTTTTATATTTGGGCCACAGTGTCCATGTGAAATATTTTGGAGGGAAACCCAGGATCTTTCACCATCTAGAGTGCTTTGTTGTTAACAGGAGTGCAAGAGAAGCTGGGAGTGATGAACAAAGGAGTGGTGTACGCTCTGTGGGATTACGAAGCCCAGAATAACGACGAGTTGTCATTCCACGAGGGTGATGCCATTACTATTCTAAGACGCAAGGATGACAATGAAACGGAGTGGTGGTGGGCCCGCCTCAATGATAAAGAAGGCTACGTGCCTAAAAACCTTCTTGGGGTGAGTTCTTTTTCAGTTACCTTCTCCCTTCTATTTCTTTCTACCTTATGAAGTGGAAACACAAGAATGATCTTTGGTCAGGATCCCTCTGTACATCATCCAGATACACTGCTAGGATACAATGCAAAGCAGATGATTATCCTTATCCTCTCTTGCCTCTGTGTCATTGTGAACAAAAAGGACAGGCTATGGCCAGATCAGTGCTGGGTTTTACTTGGCAAGTTAGTAGAGTTAATAGAGCTTATACTTCCATAAAGTTATTTTGCCCCTCGGCTAAAAAACAGAGCATAAGACAAGATTACAGAGCGGGAAATGAGCTCTCCCTAGGGCTCAGCAGGGAGTTTTCATACTTGTGTGAGAGCATCTTTTGGTCCATGCTGGGATCTTGAGTTAAATGAACCAAGTCATTTCTAGAGCAGCTGCTGGCAGGAGTAACTCAGCCCTCAGCCTCCTGCTGCTTCTGGTTTACTTTTTCAGAAGTTACCCAAGAACATGCTGTAGCTCACAAAAACGTCACCCCCACCAAACACTCCATCATTCAGTTCTTGTTAACAAGTACCTCTTGGTTATAATTGAATTAATTTATATCTGACTTGGTGTCAATCACACAAAGCCTAATATTTTTATTGTTTTTTACAGTTATATCCACGAATAAAGCCTAGACAGCGAACCCTTGCTTGAACTGAGTTGTACGACAGTGCAATACCATGCTGGTAACTGGAAACTTAAAACATACACTGGAGCCATCACTTTTGATCATTTCACACAGAGAAATAAAACTATGATACTTAGTTTTAATGGTGCTTTCTCTTGTTAAATGGACAGCATCCACAATTTTCAAGATCTGCAGTTTGTAAATGAGGATCATTTTTACAGGACCCACCACTGCTGAGGAGACCGATACCTCCACTACTTACAGTGTTGCACCACTATCGTCTGAAGCGGTGTTTTAAGTTCAAAGTTCTGTGGTTGGAGCTTTCTTGTGTTCAATGTTCAGAGGTGTCACTTGTGGGGTGCAGATACACTGTCCAGTTTGCTCCAACCCCACAGCAACTGTCCCACATCAGGATTTTGGATGTTTTGTTCAATACCAGTGAATGTTGAGTTCTTGTTATCGATCAACTCTTGGGTTCTAGGACACAAGATCTTCACCTATTACATGCATAATTTAAGTAGTCACCAAAGCTAAATAAAGGCTAGGATTAAGCGGTAACATGCTACACGCTTACATCCTAGTCTGGACAACCCCAACAAAAGCTTTAACTAGCCTAGCACCTAGTATTATTTGCATTTAGAATCAAGCTAGAGAACTAACAAAACAACAGTATTTGTACACTTCTCAAATCCCCTACACGCTATTTCACATGGTGTTTTATTTTCTTCTTATTCAGCTTACAGCACCAGTGTTATCTCTACTAATGTAAAGGTTTGTCTGCCAGCCACGGGCACCTGTCTGCCCTGGACAAAGCAGTCAGTACCAAATGTGCAGCAGTTAAGGGATTTGTACGTCTGCATGGATGGAAGTGCAATAGTTGAAAAGGGTAAGAGTCCGGTAAGGGTTATAGTGTGTGAGCTGAAGTCTGCCCGAGTCAGTCTAGACCAAAATATGAAGGACTGGATAGAAGTAGGAAGAGGGTTGTGTAGATGCAAAGTCAAGGAGAAGAAAGAAACAAGGTTTAGAGGAGGATTTAAGAAAGGCACTAGCTTATTTTTCTGTGGTTCTTGGCAGCCTCCAGCTGTTGTCAAGGCAAGTTATGCAATAACCTATTCCACTACATGGGAGTTTCAAGCAAAAAAAAAAAAAAAAAAAAGGCACTTCACTGGCATTTTAATTGTACATGATTTTCTACATCGAAAGTCTATTTTGAATTTCCCATTATGAGTTTTAGCCATATTTCTTGTAATTTTCTCCCATTTACCAGTATGCAATTTGATTAATTCTTCATGTACAAGTTCTGTGTATAATTTATATATCCATTCCTGCAGTGCTGTAACTTGCTTTTACCACAGGTTAGCATTAACTGTATATATTGTGGTGAAAAGTGAAAGGGTATTATTGTTGAAGAATTTGCTACATGAATGTGATGATTTCAAGAGCCTATGATACACTAATTCAGAGAACATGTAAATGTGCACAATAAAGTCCTGCTAAGGCATGGCTGCATTCTCCAGTATTTTTATACAGTACAACAGCAGACAGACATGCCTTTGCTCAGAGTCTCCATAAAAAGAGCAATTTGAGCTTGTTGTGTTCTACCTGTCACCTCCAACTTCCTCACCGCTTCCTTCAGCAGCTGCACAGACAGCATGTTCCCAAACAGTTTTTTTACACAAGTTCTCCAGTATTCCAGCTGTGACAAATTAATACTTACCTAGAGGAGCTCTCAGGGCTCCTTTACACACAAGCTGACAGCTCAGCCTCCTGCGCTGGTTTACTCAGTTCTTCCCAGCGAGGGAAGACCGAGGGCAAAAACTCACTTGGCAGAGAGTGTGTAGCCGGAGGATTCATCCCAGTGGTTGAACTGTTATCAACAGTTAGAGCTGAACTGAGAGTGATCTTTATCAAAAGGGAAAGTTTCAGAGAGTAGAGACCACCGTATCCACCATTAAAGAAGTTACACACTGCAAAATTAAGTATCACCTAGGTTTTTTAAATAAGTGAATTAATTTATTCGTATTTGTACATTAAACTGTATACAATTTCAGAGAGCATTACAGTTAGATTAACAAAAGCTAGTTACCAAAAAGAAAATACAAAACTAAACATTATTCTGGAAGCTTATTTATCACAGAAGTGAAGTTTTAAGGTCATGTTCATGTAAGTCCAGTTTGTGGTATTTGGTGAAATACTCAGATGTTTAACATGAAATGTTAAAAAAACCCCAAATGATTTCTATAAAATCATATCTAAGGCAGATTTTATTGTTGTACATTGACATTTAAACATTTGGATAGAGGGAAAAACCTGAGATCTATGCCCAAAAGCTATTCTCTGCAGAAGAGACATACACATTTGTTTGCTTTCTGTAGCAAACAGTATATATAACTGTTACTATAAAAGTTGTGCTGTACATGAGCTGTAGTGCAGGTCACTTTCATATTAAGTGCCAATAAAGGCTTAACAAAATATACAAAGTCTTAAAAGGTGAGGCTGTTTAAAGCATTAACTGTATACATATTGCACACTATTGTGAATACTCATGGGTCAAAAAATAGTCCCACTGCATCTGCCCGTTCCTGCATGCCGAACCGCGCTGGAATGAGAAGGGGTCAAGAACCATTGAGTGTTACCAGCTGTCAGCCAGCACAGGGCAAGAGGCAGGTCCATGGAGGCCGGGCTCTGCCCTCAGGTGCCTCAACCTTTGCTGTCCTTACTGGTCCCGCGACTCGTAAAGAAGTTTTGTTGCCTAACACAAAGACAAAACACCACTGTGTTAAGTGAAGTGGTGCCTGCAGCCACCTCATCTCCCTTCTACCCCTCCAAAACTTCCTTTAAACCCAAGGCTTTAAATTCTTCATTTTCCTCAGTTTAGGGCATTTAATAGCAGTCAGATAGGCACTAGAGTTATTTTAGAGACTATTCAGGGTTATTTTAAATGCAGAACCTGTGAACACTGAGTATTTCAGATCAACTTATATTTGTTTCTTCTTGGTCAGAAATGACTATTTCTGACAAAACCTGCCTTGGGAAAAACTAGAAGTAATGTTTCTGAGATTTTGGTGATCCCTCTAAACATACACAGTAACAATGTTGTTAAGTTTTATATTCCTCATGTCTCCTCCTCAAAAAGTCCAGGCAAGGGGTTTCATTGGTCTCAGACTATAGTACCAATCAGCCTCCTGCACTGGGGACAGATGTGCTTCCTCTCGCTGCAAGTACCTTTACGTGCTGTTAACGGGGACCTCTGAAAGTCTCACTGCACCCATACATCACACAAAATCAAGCTAAATGACTGTCAAAGGAGACAAAGCACCCCACATAAAGATTTTCTTTAGTCTTCTGCAAGTTTTGCTTCCACTGCTTACCTTGTGCATAGCTGCCAGCCAGCTTGCTGACAGCTTCTTATTACAGCTGAAGTCTTCACTAGCTGTAAACTTCATCTGTGTTAGCTCCTCTGATCCTGGTACCTTATACTGCAGAATCATACCTATGGCACGAGTATTGCCTCCTGAAAAAAAGAAAGAAGATCTTGAACAGTGACAGAACTACACAGCAGAACAACTTCTAGCTAATGAGCACATCTGAAGAAAACCAGCTCATCACTTAACTGAAAGCCCTGGAAACCACAGGTGCACCACCAACAGCTGCGGCAGTGACCACAGTGATACTGCCAGGCCACGGAATGTGCACACTCAATGTTGTTTAGTTCTTTCTGGCAATCACCAAGGCAGAACTTGTACAAGCCATTAGGTAAAGCCACTAGCTACAAACACACAAACACACACACACAGAGAATATCCTCTTGTTTTACTATTACTGTGTCTTCTCTGAAATAGATAGCACAGTTTCACACTGTAGCCTGCAGTCTGTAAACTGAGTTACTCGTGTCCAGTTAGACTGATACCAAAAGGGCTCCCTGCTCCATACAAAGTCTGGCACAGCAATCTGAAGTCCCTCCAACGATGGCAAAGGTTGGGAAAGATGCTTACACAAGACTAGAAAACAACTGTCAATATAATTTTCCTTCCTGAAGGAAATCTGCTACAAAAGACATTGATCTGACAACCGTGTGATAGCGAGATGTTTGTCTCTCTCTTACACTAGCTGCACAGAGATAAGATAAACTGAAGCCAAAACACAGAAGGGAAACAAGAGCTTTGTTTAGAATACTGCACTTTATTGGCATTATTTCCTGGAGCAGCAGAGCATAAACTAAGCCCCAGGAATAGCACTGCCATACGCAGGACAATACTGCATGAGGGGACTCCCAGAGGCCATTTCTGTAATATCCAAGAATCCAGACAAAGACAAACTCAATCTAAGTGACCTGATGAAAGGCCCACAAGCAGTTTTCATGAAAGTAGCTACTCGCTCCTGTTCTAGGAGAAACTGAAATCCAACTCCTTCACTCACTCCCCTGCATCCACCTGTCAGAGTAACAGATTAAGGGACTACTTAAACCAGTGGAAATCAAACATCTACAGCCTCGGCCAGTTTGCCAGTGTCTGGCATTCCAGGACATTACTGAGTTAGGCAGAACACACCTCATATAACAACAGGTCTTACTACTTCTAAAGATGTCTAAAAGCACACCATTAACAGTGTATTTATTCAGTGCAAAGCCTTACTGGACAGTGCACAAGGAGTTACTCATCTCTGGTATACACAACTCAGCAGCACGCCTCTGCTGAAGCAGGTGATGCGTAACACTGTGTGCCACTAAAAATACTATTTCTCAACTTCCCTTCTCCCTTCCAGCATGGACAATAGCACATGTGGTCTAAAGAAGGCTTTGAGCACTGTAGTTCTCCAAAAAGATACAGAACATTCAGTGTCAGTTTATTAGATGGGAGGGAAAGGTTCTTGTCAGATTTGAACATAATTTGTCTCAAGTTAAACAGCTATAGATCAGACAAAATCAGCACTGCAGAGGAGAAGAGGTGGGAGGGGGTCATGCTCAGAGGTACTGGCGATACCTTCAGTTATGTGCTGGCTCTCCAGAAGGCTGGTGTAAGTGTGAGTATCTTTTTCTACCGTCAAGAAGGAAGGCAGGCAGGCAAAAAGATAAAGCAGTCAGAGGAGTAGTGAACAAGGAATTACAGGAACATGAACTCAGCAACACATCTGGTTGATTTAATACCAAGGTAAGTTTATTGAAGTTAACATGCTGTACTGACTGAATATTGCACAGAGAGGCTGTCCATTTAGAAAACTCTCGCAGTGACAGAGGTGTTCTGACAAACAATCATTAAAATTCCTGACCTTGTTTGTTCTCATTTCAGTGAAATCCTATTCAAGTTCATCCTGAGATACTCTAAAATCTGGTAAGAGACGAGGCAGTACGTAGCTGCCCTCCAATTCAGATGTTATCAGTTTCATTTGGCCACCCCTTCAGCTCCAATGAAATCAACAAAGCACAGCTTAATTCCCACCCACACCCCCCTCCCAGGTTCTCTCACTCTTCTTGCAATTGTCTGTACCAGTAGAATAGAAATCCCATCTGGATCCTGAAATGGAAGCCACCAAAGACTAGCAGTTCCCTCCTCTGAGCTTTGGAATCAACAGATCTTTATATTTAGCCAAAAGAAACATTAAGAACAGCTGATGACCACCTTTATTCAGGTGTAGGGTAATTTCTCAATTCCCAGGTTTTCCCCAAAATCCCAGTAGCCACACAGACAGGGTTTCACGTACTGCACTCCATTCTGAGAGCAGCTGTAACTAACACATCGCAGTTACTGATTACCCAGAAATGCACTGTCCAGCTC